TTCGACCAACGTGGCGTGCGGTTGCTTAGGCTGGTGTCAGAGTCCGCGATCCGTCGCAGGTTTCGCTGATTTCGCGATTTTCGCGATTTGCGCGATTTGCGCGAAACCTGCGATGGATCACAGGAGTTGGAAGTGCCCGATGAATACTGCGAGGTGTTGTTTAATCCTGCTGCGAATTCTGCTTGACAGTAAAGATTGAAGACGAACTGTTTGTGGTTTCATGTTCAATGTCTATCAGTTCATTGAAATGCTCATGATTCGTTCCTATTCTATCCTATAATTCTAGATTCTATAATATCAAACAACATGAGGGCAGTCGTCATTCAGCCATCACTATCAAGCAGAAGTGGCGGCGGCATTGGAGAACACCTTGATGGGGCACTTGTGATTTACCGTGACCCGTCGCGCAAATCGCGCAAATCGCTGAAATCAGCGAAACCTGCGACGGATCGCGGACTCTGACACCAGCCTAAGATATAACGCGACTTTTCCGCTCTTCGCAGCGCGGAGCATTTTCCGCTGCAGGCCTCAGGTTCACTACGATTAGTGGACCAATGTTTCCTGCAGCGAAAAAGTTCGCGCTGCGAGACGCGAAAAAGTCGCTTTCTGTCTTAGCGAACCACACCCGACACGTCGGTCGAGTACACGCTGGATGGACACCAACGCTGGATTGCTGCCACTTTCACGAATGATTCTAACAATTTTACAACAATGTTTTTTCCAAGCGGTTTCCTGAATACGAAATTTGAGCTTGTAATTCGCTTCGAAAATGGTCCCGTCGCTGTTGACAACGAAGGTTCTTCCTATTCAGGACCGAATCATGTGACAGTGAAGCTACCACAAGCTGCAAGGGTTCATTAGAAAAAGAGGCGAGTTTTATAGGCCGTTCTAATAATTCAAATTCTTATTATTATAACTTTATATCACACAGGTCGGCGTGATTCCGGAAGACCCTGTGTCACATGAAAGCCCTCCTGAACTTTCCGTGCATAACAACCAGGACGTGAATGACTCTTCATCCGGTGATGCAGCACCTTTGTGTGGAAGTAGTAAAGAGTTGAGTTTCAGAGTACTTTTATACAGTCGACGTTTTGCTAATTTAGTCCTACAGCAACCAAACGGAGTGGAGAAGGACAGTGGGCCTGTGTGTGCCAAAAGTGAATCGAATGATCTCGTTAACTGCAATGGCGGTAACGGAGGGATCAAACCTGTGTGTGCTAATGCAGTGTCTCCACGTGGGAAGAATGTGTAGTAAGTTCAAACTAACTTACTAATATGAGTCGGTGATGAATTGAAGAAACTAAAACTCAAAAATAGGGAACCTTTGTGTGGTTACCAGACGTCCCTGACTGATTTGTTATTCGAGGCTTTTAAGCACCACAAAATACAATAACTTCAAACGGTCACAAAGGAGAGCAATGAACGCGGACCGTCGATTCTTACGCAACAATAATATGTGGTGGAATTGTCGGATGGGCAAGGTCAAAAATGGTTATTCGAATGAATGTACTTCCAATGATACAGCACCTTTCTGTGAAAGTAATGTGAAGTAAGTTCCAGTAAGAATTTCGTTCGAAATAGTTTTGTTATTGGAATTTTTCAGTACCGTAAACGATGGGGCCCTTCAACAGCATCCTAAACCCTACGAAGTGGAGAAAAATCCTCCCCACATCCATGACAATATTGGCTGGTCAAACCGTCATATGAAATGGAGGGGTCGTAGACGCAGTCCCAGTTTCTACAACACGCATCATGACCATCGTCAATGGACCGACTACCGGCGACATTATCTTCCTCTGAAGCCCAATGAAGAGCGATATAATCGCACATATAGAGATTTCTCGGTAAGTTAGATTTCATTTTCATGTAATGATGAGTCGTACGCGGGCTCAAAATGTCTTAACAAACAGTCTCTTGTCACAGGACGAAGGTCACTCTTTTCCCAACCACATGACTACGAATCAGCGTTGGTGGAGAAGAACTTACAATAGTTGTTATCGTAGATACTAACAATTTCTTTCCGATAAAGAAGACTGTTCTTGAAACTCGTCCTCAAACATTATTCCAAGACAATCTATTCGAAGCAACATCATTCGCATGAAATGCCTTGCTGAACATCACTCATGTAACGTTGTGCTGTTGAAATTGTATCAGGTCGGACGGATTAACAAAAACAAAATAGGCGAGAACAAAAAAAAGAACTCACAACAAAACAACAAAACAGATCATATAATCTAGATTACCAGAGAAATATAACACCGATGCAGTTTTTCAAAGTCCTTCAGATCAACTCTTCAGTACTAATGCAGCCCATGCCTGTTCCCGATATCGGGTCAACTCTTGAATGGGATTGGCACTCGATGTCACTCCACGTCCAACTATTACGATATCATTTTGTTGACGCACAACAGCCTAAATCACATGGGTCCAACAATAAGTGCTTTCTCAAAATTTCTACCATTCACTAGTAGTTTACACTAGAGAGGCACTGTATTAAGGTTACCCAGGGCATGTGCTCATTGTAAGACCACCCGATGAATTACGAATTAAGACACCCGATGAATTACGAATTGATAATTTGAAAGGTCATTGCCGTTGCTGTTTACTATTCGTAACGGATTGCCGCGCACCTGAACCAGTCAAGAAATGAACGGTTTCTAGTTGAGAATACTACGGAACACTGCATGTTTGCCTTTACCCTTTTTTATCAATAACTTTGGAACTCATCGTCGATACCCGAGAGTTTCGGTAGGTGCATCAGCGGAAGTGACTGACTGCCGCTGCACTTGGTAGAAGTTGCGTGGATAAGCTGTTGCCAGCATGCTTTGCTGATATCCAGCGATGTACAGTCGATATCTCGAAGTCTGATTGGGCGTGTCACCGGAAATGACGTGGCAGCCACCGCACTTGATAGATGTTGTGTGGATAAATACTCCGCCAGATATCAGCAAAGCGTGTTGGAAGCAGCTTATCCGCGCAACTTCTATCAAGTGCGGTGGACACGCCCAATCAGACTTCGAGATTTGGAGTGTATGTTGAAACACTTTAAACACGGCTTCTATCAAGTGCGGTGATGGCCACGTCATTTCCGGTGACGCTTACCCTAACTCTCGGACATCGACTGTATAAGGCATACACTCAAAAATTCTATTGTGCGGCTGCACCTAGAGGGGGTGGGGACACGAGGTGTGTGGTTTGTTGAAGTTTGAAGTGAAAAATCGAACTTCCAGGGGCGCCATTGTTGATGCTACTCTCAGATACTACACATACAATTCAGCAGGATACCATACTTATAAACCGTGTGCAGTGCCTGCTTCATCGTTCAGTTGCGAAGGAAAGTAAGCAGAACAAAGGACACACCTCATCAACTCCTCTCCATTGCTGTCCCTTGTTGTCAGAAGTCGAGTCCAGATTCACTCCTAATCAAATTTATATTTTTGGAGTGCATTTCATATAATGAAACGAAAAGTCAAGCTTCTTGAAGACTCAACCCTAGATGAGTTCAAGTGATGAATTCTTTCAGTGGGAGGATAGAGCTGTTCATGAAGATTGCAGAAATTCCGTGTTCTGGGCTCTAATAAGCGCAACAAAGGCGCTACAGTCTTGCGAGGATGGCTTCGACTGCCTCCATTTTTCTACTCCGCAGACAATTGGGTCTGCGCTTTTACACCCATCATGCTCTCTCGCCTTTCATCTCTCGTGTTCGATGTCTCTCCACCTGCCTTCACTTGAAACTGAGTAAGCCATTTTCTTTATCAACAGAAGACTTCATACCGATGCTTACATATTCGTGGCAAGAACCACGTAGCTTGATCCTCGGGCGTGTCTTCGAGGAACTCACCGGAAGCACTCTCGCTTACCTGGAGTCCAGTGAAGCATATCCGGATGAGGCGATACTCGTGCCTGACAAATGAATCCACAGACGACATCTCGATTGGCTCCACCCATCTCCGCAGCCGCTACAATTTGTGATAAAATAAAACGAAATTATCAAGACCTTGTGCAGAAACCAACCTTCTGTATACCCAGGGAGAGCCGTGAGCGAACCCTTCGTGCTTAGCTGAGCAATGAGCAGTATACCACTCAAGCGATACGTAGGATCCAGTATAACCTGAGAGGGAGGAGAGGAAATTTTCAGGTTACTCCAACGATTGTTCAGATTTTTTTTTTCAATTTACAAAATATGAGCCTGACGCGATACCGTACACCGATCTTAAACTGGGTCCTCTAAGAAGGGGTAACACAGGCTTTAAGCCGAATACAGTCGTTACATTGTGTGCGAAGAAGGTCAGGAGGACGAGCGAGAGTGAGGGAGGCCGTTTTGCGTCTGACACGAACTGATGGTGTTATGTTACTTATAGTAACGTGTATTACAAGTGGCGAGAGATGAAGCTCACATAATGAGGAGTAATTTAACAATATTTGGGCGCATTTTATCTCGGCCGACTGATCCAGATGTCCAAACTGCATGGTGACGCGGATCCCCGCGCTGCCGTTCATCGTGCTGGGTTGAGTATGGTAGAGAGTATGTGATGACAGGCTTAGCGCTTCGTGATGACAGCTTAGCTAGCGCGGAACGGTGGAAGAGATAAACAAAAACAAAGAACGTGGAACGAGGCGCCTTACCCTTCAGTAAAGTCGGATGTGGTACGATGGCGAGACAGGGCGGTCAAAGAAGACAAAATACGCGAGAGAGCACGTCGAGAGAGCACGCTGATCTCTACATCAATGCACGCTGATCTCACCACCTCTCGCGGTGGTGGGAAGCGTTGGAATCGGGGGTCGATGGGTTGCAGGCCCGTAAGGGTTCAGCGCCGCCCTAACCGCGCAATTTTAGCGACGAAGCTGGAGTGATCTAGGTGGGTACAGACGCTTACAATTTCGCCTCGTCGGGCTGTCGCTAAATCCGGGTTTACTGCAACAGACGAGAAGGCTAGTACTTTTTTCCACAGGCACAGCGAAACTCCTTCAGGGACTAGCCACCATACTTCGTTCCTTCCCTTTCACCCTTCCATATGATATGACCGCTAGTTCCTTTCAGCATGTGACGACCCCAGCGAACCTCGTTCTCCATCCAGAGAGCGGCAGCTGGTTTGTATAGGAGAACTGTGTTGTGGTTTGTGAAGGAGCATTTCTGTTAGAAGCCCGAACACTTCTTCTATATCTTCCTGATTTTGGTTTCTTTATTCAACGATCTAGCTATTAGGTTGGCAAGAAAGTCCTGCGACACTTTTTCAATTTTTTGATTTTAATTCTATCTTTTTTGTTTACAACTCCTGACCGGTCATATATCTATCATGAGTGTCCACCACTTGTCTTCAACGCTCAGAAAATTTCCTGATGCGCCTTTTCCAAAACCCAGCGGAGTGCGGGTCAAGAAAGGAGGCGACCTCACTTTCGAGTTGGAGTTGATCGTCTAATTATTTCGTTCATCAAGATGATGATTAAAGGTCCAGGATAGGTAGCAGTCATTTACAGCTCGACCAGGGGATTACGCTAAGAGAGGTAAGAAATCTTGCCGCAACTCCAGAATTTCTTACCGGGCTCATTTCGGATCATGGTGATTCGCAATGTCATGAAAGAAATGAATATTGTCGCGGTACGAGGGCTCTTGACGAGCTGCCTCGGCCAGCTTCTGGTATTCCACAGCCTAGGCCTCTACCTACACAATGGTGCCCATAACGAAGAATATGTAGTGGAGCTTCTGTAAGAGCCCTACCTGTAATGGAGTGTGAGGGACGCTGCTGGCTTCTTATAAAAATATCAAAAGATCGGAAGCGCTGGTAAAGGTGAAACACGCTGTAGCGGTGAACGACATGCCTTTTGAAGCGATTGCAGATAGTGTTGGTCTTTGACACGAATCCATAGTTATGTAGACATTTGTACTAGACAGTGACTCGGAGTGTGGATTTACTAGTGGTCGAGGTTTTTTGAATTTTCTTGGATAACTACTGACTGCAGCACTTATATCCACCTCGTGGATTAAAGCCTCGAGAATGCTCTACCATTTGTTAGTCATAAATGTTACCTATGGATTTTTCAGAAAAAAAGAAAATTTTGGAAAGAGTGTCGCAGGACTTTCTTGCCAAACCTAATACTTACACACCGTCTGACGTATAACGCTGTGTATTACGTTTTCTTCAATCAGGATGCGTCAAGGAGTTAAGTATTCAGTCAGGGTGGTCGTAAATTATGCATAATATAACATATGTTGGATATATGTTATAATTATTTGACATATCACAACTCCCATGTACCTGACGAAAGACTGATCCGATTGAATCGCAACCTTGGACAGCATGAACAGTTACAACATCAGCCCATTCGGCTACATGAAGTGCTCCCTTCAGTTGTAGGAGTTAGTGTTTCCAGTATCACCGAATTTCCTAAGAAAGCACTTTATCATTTACTTCGCTCCACGGAGCCGGACAAAAGTAAGCGCTCCAAGAACCTGTCCTCGAAGATGATGAAGTCGTGGTCGTTTGCAGTGCGACCAGCCGTGACGTGCAAACTCACTCGAAAAGTCCACAATTGCATCAGCATGAATTTTTACAGCTATGACAAAGGGGCCAGCTTTTTTCAACAAGCTTGAAATGTAGAAATTCGATAATGCTTGATTTGAAGTCCTCTTACGCTTAACTTACTTGAAGAATTTTCTCTGCTTCAGTATAGTCAACGGCTAGACAAAGATTCGAGTTCTTCTTGATCATTAGCTCTAAACTTTACTTATTCAGCGGAGATAATGTCCTCGCACGCTCTTCTAAGGAAGTCACGCCTTTTGGATCAGTTCTCAAGCGATGAATTATATCCCAAGGCGACAAGTAGGTGAAATGAAACGAAAATGATAATGAGGTCCTTCTTACCAAATTGAACAAGGGGAAAGAAGCTAGGTTTTCCATTTGTGGGGAAATTTCCAGATGTTTCACTTCCTTGTAAGGGAGGTTCAGCGCCTGATTACAATTCTTTTTACAACTTTCTCTGGAAAATCTTTACAAAAACTTTACCTTACCTTAATGATCTCCAGTGATGTCTCTTTATCGATGGCATCTACGGAAAGCAAAAAGCAGAGAATCGTTTCCATATTGAAAAGGCTGTAATGATCATGATATCAGTGCAAAGCTGCTGGTACTGAAACTAAAATGTCCGCTCAACCAATCTATCTGCTTTTTTCTTGGGCAGCTTCTAACATGAAAGGTTGGAGGGTTCAAAGAAGTTACGATATTAATGTAAACTTTACTAGGAAATTTACTTCGCCCTGAACTTTGCCACCTAAGAGAACCTGGAAAAGGTCCCCGTGTCAGGATCTCGATCCTGTAAGTGGCACAATGGTCCGAAACATCAAAAACATAAGAATATGCAAGTTCGAATACCTGCGAAGAGTTATGCCGCCCTCCAGAAGCTTTTCGGCACCACCCTGTTCCCTGTCAAGGAGGCAGAACACATCCTCCACTATAAGGCCATCTGCACGCAAGGTTCTTACCACCTACAAAGAAGTGGGACACGCCTTGATTTCGGCATATCTTTAATCACTAAACTTACATCTTCAACACTTCCCCCTGTTGTCACTACATCCTCGATGATAACCACTCGATCACCTTTCTGGTAAAGGCCTTCGATCAACTTTTTAGTTCCATGCGTCTTCGCCTCCTTGCGAATAATTAGCAGCGGCTTCTTGGAACGTTGGGACACCAACTGCAAACAGAAAAATGGAAGGCGTTTTGCTAAGAAGAAGAAGAACAAGTTCAGAATGCATTAAAGCTCACTGTTCGCATACGGTAATGCAGCGTATGGAACCCCAACGATCCCATCGAATGGAATGTCTGCTTCTTCTATCAGAGATTTGAGACCGTCTGATGCGAGATCCTGAGTAAACAGGTTTGCTATCACAACTGTGTTAGATAAATCCTCAATTCAGTTGTGCGAGTGATTTTTCAAGTATTGATCACCAAAAGATTGAACTCTCGAAAGGGCAAGGCCATAAAAAAGGATAAATTGCATCAGTCGTGGGAACTACGAGCTGTTCTGACAATGAGACAGAAAATAGAGATCTTGTAGTACCAAGAAGAAGATAACATTTAGCAATTCAGGTTTGAAATTCCATATAGATTTAATCCTGTTCATCAAGGAGCTCAATTTAATGGGCAAACTGAAAATTAGGATCAGCTTCGAATTATATCCCTACTTGACATGTGGTTTCTATATCCACTGAAAATTTATTAGCAATAACAATGAGTCGATATGAGTTTCTAATGTTGAAAAAAAAAGCACGAGCAAGACCAAAATAAGATGGCGAGGAGGTGAACTAGAGCTAGAAGTACGGTAACGCGCCAGAAGTAGCAGTTGGCGACAGCGCTGATGGGCACCCCTTTTCTAGGCTGAATTTTCATCTACAAACCTTCCCTACTAATGATTTGGGGTTTCAAAGCAATTGGTTCTGAATGCAAATGGTTCAAACATACGTAAATACCTATGCTACCAATATGGCAGGTAGAGAGGTTCAACCACTACCACAATCCAACACAAAATTGCTGTAGTGAACACAGAAGGAAAAGTCTCCTTCACACTTTGAACCGCAGGTATCCCGTACCGAGGGAAGAAAAGCATAAAAAGCCTCCTACAACGTCCTGGAGTGCGCCACACATCCATGGGTTGCTTTTAAATGCGATTGAAGTATTGACGTTTCTAAATGTGTATTAAACAATGTGAGACTTCAAAATTTTATTGCAAAAGACTCAAAACTTTCTACAAAAGAGATTGCAAAAATGAGTGTTTGCAAAAGTTTTGCAAAAGTTTAAGCCTTTTTGGCGAGCTTTCGGCGCTTAGCGCCTTTGTCGAGCCTGAAATGAAAATTATAAGCTTTCTAACTTTAGCTCGCCAAAAAAGGCTTAAACTTTTGCAAAACTTTTGCAAACACTCATTTTTGCAATCTCTTTTGTAGAAAGTTTTGAGTCTTTTGCAATAAAATTTTGAAGTCTCACATTGTTTAATACACATTTAGATCGACATGAGACTTCGGGACAGAACAATTCTTACAGGTTATTGGTACGTTTACTTACGGGGTCACAGAACACACATAAGCGCTTGACCTTCCAAAACACGTCTGGTACCAATCATTAGACCAGAATGCTATAATGCGAATAATCAAGAGCCAAAATCAGTCATCTGTTATATGCCAATTCCAATTTTTGATCCCTTCTCCTCCTCTAAATAGACCCTCGAATCAAACGGGCGGATGGATTCAGTAGGCCCTTTGAAACCTGCATCACCCCGACAAAATCCAACTCCCAACAAACCGCAAAGTCTGCTGCCAGTACTATCAATTTTCAGGCATATATTTTCGATGACGCATGTCTCTAAAAAAACGAGCCACTTTCCTTCAACCCTCCTCCGACCGAGAATTACAAATACGGCCTCCACTTTCGGAAATTCGTAAACGTACAGTCGACGTCAGCCAAGGAGTAGAGGACTATGACATTGTTAAATGCGCGACTAAGATGACTATGACCACTCGCCTTGATGATAAGGAAAAAGAGCATCCTGCGTTAATAATCCCTTTTGGAATGCGATGAGATACATCCCACCTCTGCTTAGAACTATTGGCATTTTCAATGTGATTTGGCTTGCGAATGAGCTGTAGGGCAGCCGATGTCAAGTCAGTGTTTTTCTCTTTCTAGGCAAACGTGGCACCAAATGACCGGCTCCAAAAGGATGGTTGGCTTGGTTGGCCTGCACCGTGTGCGATACGGGTTCTGGGCCCCAAACCGTGCGTGTAGTAAACAGCGTCATTTGCCACCACACATTTCCGCTCTCACCTTATTGATACAAAAGTGTAAGAGTAATTCAATTCGTTCACGCTTAGCAATAGCAGGAGAAAGCTCTAGAATGAGTGCACTTCTTCCTTCCCTATACCCTCCTCACCTTAGTCGTCATTTGTGAACCTGGACATTCCTCTTCTTTTCTGGACTTCTCAACTGCTCTGAGTATGACCTATTATCAGTTCCTCAATCCATTATTCTCTCCGCATCTCTATATTCGCCTATTCATGTAGAAGGGTTATTATTTGAACCTTCCTCTACCGTTTTCCAGGTTCTCTTTCTGCACTACTTCATGATCATGAGGCAGTGAAATTTTCAACCCCATAAGCACATTCCATTATCTCTGAAGAGCAGAACCACAGGGAGAAGTGGCAGTAAATGTGCAAGTGGCAACGGAAGGATCCCATGTTGAAGCAGTCAGTTGTAATCAAACTTACATAGCTAGATGTCTTTGTAAGGTAAGGCAGTATCTAACTGTGAGGTAGCCTTTCTGAGATTTCGCCGCCCACACTCAGATGCGTTTCTCTCTCCGAATTCACACGACTTAGAATTCAAAGGGAGAGCGTAGAAGTGGTGTAGTGGCAAGTGGCGCTGTTTACCACACCGGTCCGGGATCAAATCCTGGGTCGTGAGTCCGGGCCTAACCAAGCCTTCCATCCTCTCCAATGTCGGTCAATTGGTATAGGACTTCTCTGGGAGGATAAGAACTTGTATGTCGGCTGGCCCCGAAACTCATTGCATAGTTCGAATCGCAAATAAAGTGCCGCTACATTTCTGAATGAAGAACTGTCACCCACCCCGAAAATTGATTGATCAATGCCGAATGCTTCATCCTATACTTTTGAAGCCTAAAACCTTCACATGCAAGAAAAAACCCATCAAAATATAACGCATACAACGCTACTAACGCTGACTACGAATACTTTATAGAACATGCGAGGGCGTACGTAGTACAATTTGAAGTTCATGACCTTACCAGAGAGATCTGGGTACAATTACCCGACAACGAATGAAGGAAGACTTTTTTGAATCTAATAGTAAGCAAGATTCCACAATTGGACAACACGTGTGGTAGCGGTATCTTTTGACACGTTAACTTTAATCTGATAAAGATCTACACCTGTGCATAATTCCGAGTTACATTCTGCGATAAAGTACCCACCATGAGGTCAGCATATCCAAAACATTCTCGTAAGTCTATATAAATTGGCGACTTCATTCCACTCTTTAGCACAAATTCACCGAATTTGAATACCTGAACAGAAATTCTTAATACAATTTCCTTTTGGAACTGCATATTTGACCCAGCTCATACCTTCGAGTTCAACATAGAACGAAGCAAATTACGCTGACGAGCACCGTTTAAAGATTGTTCTACCAGCAAATTCATTTGTAGATCGTCTATGAAAGAGATGTAACTGAACGCCACAGAAATGTGAGTGCTTTCCCACAAGCTCAATAAAATTCTCGGCGCTCATCCGGTAAGGAGGGGGGCGATTATGCATACGAATCAATGCCAAGTGCTCGGCCCTACACCCCCCTGAACTGGCTTCACTCCCCCTGGCTCACGGGGTCCCGTACTTCGAGAAACCTGTGCGCCAGGGGGAGTGTAAGACAGTCTAGGGGGGGGGGGTGAGGTACGGCAGCCACTTGATGCCCCCTTACTGGATGAGCGCCAAATTCTTTTTTTTTTTTCGAAGCAATGTAGTGAAGTAGAGGACGCCTAACTTCGACACCGTGATGATGATTGACTGGTAGAAATTTATGCTGCTGGACAATGCAAAAATATAAAGAATATCACACAATTATTCCAATCAGCACAGAATATCACAGTTTTGGAAAAATCTCCTAGTGTAGACCATAAACCTTTTTGGCATTTGCGGTTGTAACCTCAGCGACCTAAAAGATGTTGCCTATAAAACATCAAAATCTTCTGCAAGAAAGAAAGCGAAACAAAGAACGGGTGCGAAGTATATAAAGGCTAACAGCAGTGTGATGTCGAAAAAGACTTCTCATGAACTAACACAATAGACGGCTTGTATAACCGCGTGATCTCTCACGGTATGGGAATCTCGAAATTGGACAAAATCTGTCAACACGGGAAGGCTGACTTCATGAAGAGTCGCCAAATAGAGGTGATGATGGCAAGTTGTCTCAAACGTTAATGACGAGCCTTGGCAAAAACTTGCCTCTTGCGGATCCCTCCCCATGAAGGCAGCTATCATTTCACAAACGGCAGCTAATGCGCATGGTTCGTTTCGATTGAAGGAGGTAAACTAAAAGTATGAACGACATCAATATGAGACTTATCAAAACAAAATGGCAGGACCTCTATCACAATGAAAAAGCATTAAAAAGATAATCCAGAGAAGCTCACTTTGTGCAGCTGTTTCGTTGGTTCGGTGAACGCCTCTTTCACATCCGCAGGTAATTTTTTATCGTTGATTTTTGGATACATAAATGGCGCATCAGTTTCTATGAGTAGCCGATCAAGAGGAATGGCACCATTGCGAAGAGCCGTCTGTACACCGTTTGGCAGGCGGTCTTTCCACAGAAAGCCTCCAAATAGAAAAGTCTGATTCAAGTTCAAAAGAAAAAAAACATGATCCATTTAGTATGCCGGAATACAAACACACCTGTCAACCCAATATACAAACCCATATCAACATATTTCTTCGCCTCGTCCTCAGTCCCAGTAAAGCAATGAATGACAGCTGGTGGCAATCTATTAACCAGCTAATTAGCAAAAGAGGACGTCTCACCGAAAGTGACCTTTGGAAGAAATCACCTTTCTCCAGCATCGCCCAAAATTCGTACCATGTCCTCGTGCGCTTCGCGTTCATGGATGAATAAGCGCTTTTCGTAATTCACATGCCAATTCCACCCAAAAAAGATTTTTATTGAGCCTCTACTAATAAAAACAAAAGCTAGCTCGACTCTCACCTGTTTTGCAAAAACTTCTTTTTGAACATCCTGTGGAGAAAAATTTCTGTTAAAGTCCAACCCGCATTCTCCCACAGCAACGCACTGTGCATGCGCCTTAAAACTAATGAAATAATGAAGAAAAAAGAGAGGAGAGAAAAAAGATGTACCGACTTGCAAGGCTCTCAGATTATCAAGAGTATTATTGTCAAAATCTTTTGCATCATGTGGATGTACTCCTAGAACAACGGAAATGAGAAAAGAACAACTCGAACGTTTCTTTCAGAATAATTACCAGCAGTAAAATAGAGGAATCCAGGCATTGTTTCAGCTAGTTTCATACTTTCCTTACTGATTTTCTCGCAAGTGCCGGTTATCATCAGCTTCGATATCCCTGAATTATCACCAAAATAGAAAATTAGCCGCGGATAAAAGAGCATTTCAAAGCCATCTGTTGTATCTAAACCACTACGGAGGGAGCACAGAAACTTCCCTCCTCTTTCCCATAACAGCGGCCTTGGGGAAGCACGCCAAGCTCAACAACTTGAGACCAGTAAACAAGATGACCCTTACATGACTGTTCTTGTCGAATAGGTACTATCCGAAGGTCACAGTGAAAATGTCGAATGTTTTGGCTGTAACTATCCTCAGGGATGGCCATTTCGAATTATTCCATCAGATTTGTAATGGACTTATGCATAGGAATTATTTTATATGTGCTCTAATCGAAAAAATTACTTGAGCCATTTGGCGCGAATTTGAAGTCAGATGACTTGAAGTCTTTGAAGAGCCTTCGCTTTCTCGCGTATAACAGCTCACAGTGCCGAGAATGCGGGTTCCCAGGTACTATCGAAAGATTTCATGAAGTGCAAATTTCTAGCGCGACCTCAACGACTCATCCACAAAGGGTGCAAGTAGCGCCCTACAAAACTCCGATTTTCACAGGGAGAAAAGAACGCCAGAATGCGTAAACCATTCTCGCTTCGGCTTTTACACTCACCCCAGGAACTTCTTTCCTTTGAGAGAGATGGGACAAGACCCTTCATCCATACTAACCAGGTGAAATGGACTACGATAAAACCAAGATTTGATAAAGATTTTTAGTACCAACTGCATCCCAAGTGAACCTGTCACATGAATTCAACAGCTCTAGATATTGGATGTTCCTGCTCCTCTGAAAAACTGTTCCAACACCCTCCTTAACCAACAGAATCCGTATTATTGGCGTATCCACACTCAGCTATCGCGTCACCTGTGCCACGGGGCAATCGAATTCCGATGGTTCCTTCTACGATGGGCAGCTTTTAAACAATCCTGATTGTTTCGCACGCATCAAGACGTTATCGAGATCACTTTTAAAGAGAGGATGTCCGAGGTCGCCCATGCTCCACTTAGTTCATAAGGAACAAGTCTTTCTACAGCCTTCCATTGACATATTGCAAATCTGCGAAACGAGCCGCGCGACGAATCGATGACGAGATGAGATAATTTAAACGATTAATCTAAATAATCCAACTCAAAATGGCATATGGAAACACGAATTCACGAAAATTCTAGCAGCAACAAAGAATTAGACTTTGTTGCTTAGCCATATCTTTAAAAATTAGCACTACATTAGGCTTGGATTTTAGCGGTATTTCTTTCTGAACTACAGTGGACAAGATCATAGATTGTAGAATTGTAATATTTACTCTCATAGAAACATAACAACATTTTCTACTGATAGTCTATTTGCATGAGCTGTAGGGATATGCCTTCATATTATTCCCAGCCGAGATTCCTCCTCACTACGGATCATCGACGAAGCTTTGAGTTCTTCTTGCTTTTGCTTCAAGAGTATGTCAGGGATGTATCGATAATCCTCATCAGCTTTCTCGTGTTGCTTAAAGGTGACCTGCAAAACGGATCAATCAAGTTGAATGCGATCATGGGAAGAAGAAGATCAAAGTATTCCAAAAATAAAGTTATGTAACTTAAAAAAATAATTTTGGCATACTCACAGTATTAGGAAGGCAATTTCAGAATGTGATCTCCACGTGCAACCTGGTCTGTTACATTACGTCGCAGCCATACCTCGCGAACATTTCTCCTCTGCGCTCGCAGATCGGGTATGGAATGGGTCATTGTCGGTCTCCACTGCGATCGCGCAATCGCTCGAGAGCCGCAGCGCGTGTGGTACGCGTGAAGATTTGACAACTATCCTAAACTGGTAGAAGAAGCTGTGCGCATCTCGGCAGGAGAGCAAGCTCCTATAAGATGCGGAAACTAAAGCGCCGCCTGGCAGCTAAGGTCCCACAGCACCGACCAAGCGCAATTGTCAGCGCCACGTATAAACAGAACAAAGAAGTGCAGCCCGAAGGACTCACGTCAGTGCAAAATCCTGAGCTACACGACGCAAGTTCTGCATCATTAATACATTACTAAGACTATGATCCTAGAACTGTTTTCTAGATCAAGCAGAAACGCGCCTTGCCCACATGATAAGAGTGCATAAGGGTGGCAACCCATTGTTTTTTTTTTCTTCTTTTTATGAACCAATGATGAGCAGATGTATAAACCAGAAGAGTTGGAACGGAGAAATTCAACATTGCAGAGGTTTACGCAAAGCCGTACGCGGATGTATTAAGAGTTCTACGAAAGTACAGAGGTGATCGTTTACTGTTTATGGCGAGTCAGAAACATCACACAACCACTGTAGCTAATCATAAAAATTTGTAACAAAACAAAAAATAAAATAACAAAGTGAAACAAATAAGTACATCCGAAACATCATGGCACTTACGGTGACTCCAACTGGTAAATGTGTTTGAATAAGTGAGATGAAAAGCTGAAGTTGTGGCGCCGGTACGTTACTTAACCTAACAACTCTGAAATTATGCAAAACAATCAAAAGGGAATCTCTTGTCATCTCTCGACAAATAACTAGGGTATGCTAATAATAATAAAGAACTTACCGATCGTAAAGGGATAATTTCAATTCATTGTCCACAATAGTGCTATTGGCTTTATACACCACCACTTTCTGCGTCTGAGCAGCTACGGCATAACTGCAATGATAACAGTTTTCACAAGTAAGAGCCGATAATAATCTAGTTGGAAGGTTGCTCGGAAATCGAAGATTTTGTGAATTCCCTTTGAAACGATACATTCCCTCTTCTTTGTATGACCCCGATCGGAAGGAATTACCAATAAAGACTACTGTTGCGGGAGGAAATGAATTGTAATTCAAAGAGCTGGTAGCAGTTGTGCTGAACGTTTCAACTACTTGAACAAGGAAAGGTGGCAAAGCACTTCGAAAGATGGCCCGGTTCTCATCCACTAACCTAAGAAATGCATGTAGTGCGACAGTTCATATCCTCTAAAGTCATCCAATTACAAGGGTCAAGAAGCTCCGGGGTAGATGCAAAAGTGGAAGCAAAATGGTTCACGCCCCTCGAGGATTTCCTACCCCTGCAAAAAGAGGAATTTTGTAGGTGGCGGCACCCGCACCACATGCCTCCTTTACTAGGACCCGATGGTTCATCATTCTAATGTAACAGCAGGGTACACACTAGGAACACTTCATACTGACATGCGTTGGAAAACGGGCGATATCTGGTACTTCTTCTTTCCTATGGATACTTTGTAATTCATATCCATTAGTTTCACAATTACATAAAACATGAGAATGCCTGCACGCAGTGTACCCTCAACACCTAGGGCTACTTACCAGGGAAGGCATTCAACTTCCCATGGAACTTTGAATGAGACCCAGATATATCGATAGAGCTTCAAACGCTGATTACAAATATGGAAACTAAAACTGCAAAATAACCTGCCAAAGAAGTTGTGAGCAGTTAAAGGAGGATTGCACGGAAAGAACGAAGGTCGAAGAAGGGAGAAATCGCCTAGTGGGGAGAGCGGTGAATCTCTTGAGGGTGCGGACAGACACGCAATCGGCATCGAAAGATTTGACCTCTGAGATCTAGCATGGCTCAAAGTTGGCGAGTTCGGCGATCTCCGCCCACCGATCGTCTGATCACTCGCCGTAGTACAATAGGTGGCGAGTGATTAGATAGCTGAGAGAGCGTAGGGTTGAAGAGGGCAAAGCGATGAGAGTCCCATCAATGCTCAAATCAACGGACAAGGAAGGGGTCCCATTTCTCCGGTTCTGGGCCGTTTTTCGTGGTTTCGCTTTCTTTCTGGTACTACTCACCATCTCTACCTCAATTTGGAATGGGTTGCTTTTCCATCGTAAATTCGTCCTTTAAGACACTCGCGAAGTTGAAGCGTAACATATGAACCGTGCTACCGTCCTAGCATTCAAAATCGCCGTGGAGAAGTGGTAGTGATCTCGAACTTTGCACATGAACGGAACAGAATCCATGATTTACCGGGTGGAGAGCGAGAGCAGTTACCGCTACTTCACGGCGGCTCTGAAAGCCCGAAAGCTAGCACGGTTCATATGTAATGCTTTACTTCCAGCCAACTTTGACTGCTCACAACTTCCTTGGCAAGTTCATTTTGCAGTTTTAGTTTCCATATTTGTAATCAGCGTTTGAAGCTCTATCGATATATCTGGGTCTCATCTCAAAGTTCCATGGGAGTTGAATGCCTTTCCTGGTAAGTGGTTGGCCAGTGACATTGCCAAATTCATCATATATATTTCTAAATTATCATCATATAACTATTACATAAAAATTACTAAATCATTACGCCACTAAAAAATAAAGGATAAAAGGATAAAGCATTTGCCGTTGATCAATCCCTTTTTGGGATGCGGCACGCATTCTACTTCCATTTGTACATTCGCAGTGGCATTTGAATGCGATGTGGCCTATACAATGACTTGCGGGGGCCAGCCGATGTACAAGTCAGTGTTTTTATCCTCCCAGACAAGTCTGGTACCAATTAACCGACCCCGGAGGGATGGAAGGCTTGGTTGGCCCGGGCGACTCACGACCCAGGATTTGATCCCCGGACCGCTCGCGTGGTTTTTTTTTTGGTGAGCGCGCCACTTGTCACTACACCACTTCCGCCCTTCATAAATATGAATAGATATAAATATTTAAATGATTATCAATAGAAAATGAAAGATATCACCTATTAACACCTGTCACCACGTTGAAATTTGGAACGCTTCGCGCATCCTGTTCAACGTATGCTTGAAACTTCTCCAGATAAGTAAAATCATATCCTTGTATTCGAACGTTCAACATATCATACCTGAAAAAGTTCATCATCTTCATCCTTTTTACTCTAGCTAAACACTTTTTTCACCCCACAATGAATGTCTGTTTTTCTTTTTGTTTTTTGGTGTTGTTGTATTACATAACTCCTCAGGAATTCCCTCGTATCAGGAAACTTGGGCTCATACAGCATTGCAGGATCTTGTGGTCCAGCCATTTCTCGCAGAGTAGCGAACCGGCGGCATATACTTCTACATAACGGACGATAACTAGCTAACATCTGAAAGATAAAGGAATTTGAGCCTATTTATTGCACTCGACGTTCGGTCTGTCACCGCACCCGACAGGACAGCAAAGCTTAAGCCCAAGCGAGGCAGGGTCCGTGGAAAACGGAAACACCGCCGCCTGACGTGGGTTACGGCGCTTACCGCCCCCAGACGAACATTGGTCTATCCATGGTTTTAGTATTTCTGAGTTGGATCTCACACATTTGACGACTATTTCCGTAAACAAATTATAGAAGCGCTGTGATTAGCGTCACCCCTTATGTGAAAACTGATGTTTGAAATTTGAACAAACTCAACTTACTCAAATTTAAGGTATGTCAGAAAACGCAACTGTAACTCGTCAAATTAAAACGAAAATGAGGCGATGTTTATATGAAGAATATTTCATTAATCTTTACAACATATCGAACAGTGACGTTGCTGTATACTCAGAAGAATCTTTCGTTTACAAAACACCCGAATACAGGAAAATCGTCCACAGTCAGAAAGATGTTGAAGAAATAAAACATAGCAGCTTAAAACGTTAAAGAACGTTGAGCTGCTATGTTAAGGAATGGAAATATTAAACGTACATAATCGTAAGTAACGAGAACCAATAACACACGATATCGAATTGCGATAGTAGAAGAATGACATGCGTACTGGTTTCAGTAGAAGGAACGCCTGTTAGGTACTGGAATTTCTGGATAAGGTGCAGTGCGAGGAGGAACTGGTGGAGCAGGTTGAGCGTACTGCTGATCTCTCAAAATTGTAATGAGACGATCTGACTTAATTTTCCTGAAAACGTGGGAATACATTCATGTGAACAAAGTTTGAACAAGAAAAGATAAACGAACCGCAAGTGGGCTAGCGTCTTTTTCTCAAGGAGATCCTTCAGGAATTGCTCAGCAGAAATCGTCCCCGCAAGAAAAGCCTTCGTCGTACTCTAAAAAGGGCATAACGTCATATATTAGGAGAGCAAGGTAAGCAAAAGCCTAAGTGTAATATCTCACTTCAGCCTCATCATCCGCTTCCTGGGCTGCGACCTGCAACAGGTTGCTCGTCGTATCAAGAGATTTGGAAGACGAAACCTCATCTGAAAAAGCTTATTGAGAACAATATGAGGACAGTTGCTGGAAGCTTCTCAAACACTCATTTCACCTAATTTAGCTTTTAAGGATTCAACTTCCGAGCGCAGTGTAGCCGCTTGATCGTGGAGAGCTTTAACCTGAATAATGAAAAGTTGTCACTCACTCTTTGCTCTTACTTTGTAACTTTAAAACATATTCCCACTAGGGAGTAAAAAAAACTGGTGTGTGTGCCCGCAAAGAGAAACTCTCTATGCAATGCTCATCCACTGCTTGCTAGGTCAAGGTTTCAGCTATTAAGAAAACTACAAAAGCGAAAGTAGTGGAGTGTATGCGGCAAACTTCATAGATGCCGAAGGCAGTGCTTACGAAGTAATATAAAAGGAGTAAAGCACTAGAGGCCGAAACATCTAGCCCCCTCGAAGACCTGCAACAATCAACACGCGTAAAATTTTGCGGAGCGAACACTTCCAATTTACTGCTACGGCCCCAAAGGGACGATTTTTTTGGTTAGAGTAGGAATCTACGCTCAAATCGAATAGGGCGCACTACTTCTCATTGTCTCACCTGTGTCTTAACGAGGAAATAAAGTAGCAAATAATGACGTGGGAAGTAAGGTTAATTAGCATGGGATGAGCGCAGGGGTTCTTGCCATTTGAATTTATCAATGATGCACCAAAATCCAAAAAGAAAAGTGTAAAAGAAGTTGAGCTGCCTGAAGTGCCCCAGTACAGCATAGTGTAAGCACTTATAATGAGGCGAAGGAGAGTTCGCAGAGATGAAGGGGCTGGATGAGCACGTGATTCAGAGCAACTTTCCAAAAATAAGAAGGCGGAGAGTGGTGAAGTGGCACTAGTGCTACTAACCACGCGCGGGGTCCAGAAGTCAAATTCTGTATTGGGCGCCGTCAAAGCCGGCCAGCTTTCCCATCCCTCCAGGGTCGGTCATTTAGGGCCAGATTTGTCTGGGAGGATAAAAATGTTGGACGTACATCGGCTGGCCCTGCAAATCAGGGTATGGGACAGATCGCACACAGAAGGTCACCACGACTCTGAATAGAAGTAGAATGTGTGGCACATCCCAAAAAGGTGGCTGATCAGATACGGATGCGTTATCCTTTATCCTCTACCCTAGACATTAGATTCACGCAAACTAATTCAATACGGATTAGAACAAAGAGAATCATAAACACTTGCATAAGGCATAACAACTGAGGACACTGGAAGGAGATGAGAAGGAAACAGAGCTCCCAACAAAATCTGACTAAAAATTCAAAATAAAGGTTATAAAACAGACCTGTGTTCGTAATTGGTTCAGCTTCGGCTCCTGTGCTAGATTCCATTCAGCTAGAGATTTATTCTGTGCGAGTCCTGCTTCTCGTTCCGTTGGAAGTGATCGAATCTGCAAAGAAACTTCTTATGTAACTCATATCTGATGAGAAAAGATTAAAAGATTCAACTGAACCAACAGCAAATATAGCCAAAATCGTTTCCAAGCGATATCTGAAGATCGGCTCTTACTGAATGAGGGTTTGTCTTAGGACTGAAGCCTTTTCACACGACTACAAACCTAACAAGATATTCAAGTTTTTGTAAGCGTGATGTTCAAGCATGACTTAGGACGATTTAAACATGCAATCTATCCCACATGTTTCAACTTTGTACGCTTTTGAAGGAGTTCTGTTTGTTGACAATCATCTTGCTACCTGAAGAGGAGTCCAGTTTTTCCTCAAATTGATATTCGAAACAAGGCCTCCTTGGCACCCAATCTTGTTAGTCTTACCAATTTTTACGAAGTTTTATGGTTGATTCAGGTTATTCATTCATTTGTGGGTTAATGTTTTCTCATGTATGCCTTCTGCAGATGCAACAAAGTTAAACTGCACTCAGAAACAGTAGAAGTGGCAAAAAACATACCTGAGGAAGACTGTCAATCAATGCATCGAAACGTGTTTCATTGTAAAGAAGGTCATTAAGCTGATCCACAGTCATATTTCGTATGCTTGCCATTGCCGAATTAACACAGACATCAGCAAGCGATTCATAAGCACTTTGGCTATTATACATCTTCAATTAATTATTAATTATGACAAGACAGGAACAAAAATCACGCTCAACGGTACGAACATACTTGATCCAGCTACGCTTATCTATCTAGCTAAAATCAAAATGGTTATGACCAACTCTAGCCTCCGAAGATGGCAGGAGGATAACGAACGCCATGGGAGCAAACAAGAAATCAAGAGGGGGGGGGGGGGGTTGAGACAGACAAAGAACACGAATCCGCTTCTAACTCTTCGATTCGGCGTTTCCCCCTGGCATATGGAAGGAAACCCAATGACCTTTTCGGGTAACACATAAAATGAGTCCTCTAGTGAAGCACGAGAGAAGTTTATGCTAACTATTTTGCCTCAGAATAGTGTCATACCTCACGATTGCATTTGCGAAATTTAACATCAGTCTTTACTTCACCTAACGACGTTGATAATTGACTAACAGAAAAGGTCAATGATCCTCAATGAATGATGAATTCAGGTACGCGAATCGGATTGCTCAATGGAAAAAGTAGTAGTAGAGTGAGGCACAAAGGTCCAGGAAGATAGAAAAAATCGTAGAAGAATAAATGAAAGGAACCTAGACCAAAAAATAAATAAAAAGAAGGTACAGTCAGAAAAATCCGTGGGTAATTGAAACTCTGGCGTCATTTAAAAGAGGCGTACGCAGTCACACCGAACAACTCAAGCTTGACGACCTGTCCATTTCGCAACTTCACCTCGTCATCGTCGAACGAACGACGTGGAGATCATGGCAAGGTACGTTAAACCTGGTGATCTGATATCACTTTGCTTCAAATTGGTTTTGTTGGCATTAGGTCTTTATTCATTTCGTGCAGACGTGTCATGTTCAAGCACTAGAGACGGATATGACCTTTTCTAAGCATTTTATGATCTGTTGGCTGACATTTCCTGATAAGATTCAATTGTAGATCGATTGATCACTTCGAGAAGTGGGTCTCAGTCGCCTACCTACTGAAAAAGGGTGCTATACAAGTAGGGTGGGCACGCCGCATTTTTTGAACAGAAATGTATGTAAGTGGGACTGCTGCCCGCTACTATACTGTCACGAGAATCGGGGAATTCGTGAGCCAGGGGAGTGTAGCCAATCTAGGGGTGGGGGTGAGGGCAGTCACTTGACATGCGTGAAAAGCTGGGCGTGCCCACCCCACTTGTATAGCACCTGAAAAAGTACTCATCAATTACGAAATTTGCATGCAGTTTGTGCTTCAGACTTCGAGTTTCTTTGGCAATCAAAAACAAACTATTATCGGAAAATTTTCCTAATCAACACGTCTACTAGCTCGCAGAAATACGTACGAAACCAAGCTAAACACTTATTGGACCTATGAACCGTAGTAACAAGAACTAAAACAACAACAACTAGAACAAAACTTGAAAAATTTATAATTGGTATAGGGGAACGAAAGCTCCCGCGTCCTTCCAACGAATCTGCTATGTGGGTCCCGTAAGGGAAACGCACGAAATGTCCCACATATGAGATTGAAGCATCGCCGAGTATGCGCGCACGCAATACCGCCAATGACACATGTGTGACAAACGCCGAAATCGGCGCGGGCGTCAATGTGTTAAACGCAGCAAGATTTATAGAAGCGATTGTGTAAAGTCCGTGGATGCGTTGTTGTTCTAAAAAATACTTGGTTATTGAGGCGATTACCCGATCGGAAATGGTTGGGCTAGTGCCAGAGTCCGCGAGCCATCGCGCGATTCGCGCGAATCGCGCGACGATCACAGAAATCACAAGTGCCCCGATCAATACTGCAAGGTGCTCTCCAATCCCGCCGCCATTTCTGCTTGATGGTGACTGAATGACGACTGTTCATGATTCTACTTGTTTCATATTCAGTGTTTCAAATGTTCATGGGCACTTGCGATTTTGCGATTCGCGCGGATCGCGTGACGGATCGCGGACTATGACACCAGCCTTAGGCATGTCAGAAAGAAAAAAAATGAAACAGAAATTCCCAGAAGACTTGTTACAGCAAAAGCGCTAAGAATTTTCTATTGTTTCCATAGTATCTTTCAGCTCATCATCCTTATCCCTTTCAAATGTGATATTTCATCTTGCCGTTTCTTGATCGTTCGAGAAAACTAGACTTTGCTCGAATATCTAGTATTCTGCCAAACTGTGTGAGCGGTTTGAACGATGCGCCTGCGATTCGAGAGCGCGAAAACGTGGCGCAAAATCTCCAATCACTGCTTGATTCTTGCTACTTTCCCAAGTCGTGCCATCGCGGCATGCGAAAATGGCGAGAATCAGCGGGCGGATGGGAGGG